GCTTTACTTGCTTCCAACAGCAGTGAGCGAAAGTCCTTTTACTATATAACCCGATCAATGTCACTCGTATCCGTGTACGTAAAATGTTTACTTCGGTCCATGGTACCTGATCGACACATTTTCTTTTCTTTCCCTTTGAAAGCTGTGTTAGTCCCGACTGGTAGAAGTAACGAGTCGCCATTTACCCAACTGTGCGCGCGCCTATCGGAGGCTAATCGTGGCTATTGACGCTGATGTTGCCATTTTGTTACAGTAATGCATCAATGGTACATCTGCTATAGACTAGTGGTTAGTACTCCAGAAGGGTCTGGCCGAGTTTCATGTGTGTCATGCGCATGATTTACCGTTGATACATGGGACACGTCCGAGGTCACACTGCCCAACGCCAGAACGCATAGGATACTAGCCACTGGCTTCGGCAATCATGCCTTCGCTGTCAGGTAGACACGTTTATGAGCAGTCATTAAATAACCACCAGAGGAGACTCTGCCAAGCAACGTAATACGTAGACAAGCAAGACGAGCAATTACTTTTTGTATCCTCCCGCAGGCCTCCTTCCACTCTTGGAGAAGATGTGCCTATCGGGTAAGATCTGTTTTCGTGTTCCTGAAATCAAACGCTTTGAACTGACAAGCAAACCTGTCTTGAAGCTGTATCGCGAATTTGGTATTCATCAAGATCAGCAGTGTGAACGTTTATATATATATATATATATAAAAATAGCTGGGACCTAAATTCAGGCTTTTTCTTAAGAACTGTTTCTAAATCTGAATCTAAACAAAAATATATTTCAACAACGCTTCTTGCTTACGCTAGAGTCGCTCTTGGCGGCTGCGATTGTTCAATGCTTTAATTAATACTCACTCTAGTGATTTTGAAGAAGATGCAAAATGGCTCGAGAAAGACTCACTGTTAAAGTTTATTTGGGACAGCCTGATCGACGATAGATTTCCCCTCTCCAAGCTGTATTTAATTTCGATATAATAAATGTATCAAGAATGACTTTTTAAGCCATTTTCATGAACCTTTTAATTTTTTTAATATAAAACTTATTGAGGATCTTTCGGTTTAGCTTATGGAAATATTTTTCAAGAGCCGCATGAAAACTTACAATAATGTAAACCGTCGATTTTGGTGGAAAAGAAAGTCTAAAAACGAAAGAACTAGCTTTTTTCTCGTACTAGCAAAAGTGGATGGACGCATGTGCAGCCGGCCACCTAAATACCTCGCTCTATATATATATATATATATAGGCTCCGACGTCATTCTATTTGTTCCCATACGATGACCCGAGTGTTCTATCAGGTGCTCGACAACTCTGCTAATGGCACCTTGATAATTTGAAATTAGTACTACCGGCCACACTCTTCCGCTTCGACACCAAGCTCGCGACGACGTTCAGCCAAACTGTCTCTTTTTCTCACTGGAACCAACCTAAGGTTTTCAACTTATTTTAGCCTTTTTACTTTCGTTTTTCTTTTTCCGTCTCAAGTAGTCCTAGTGCTGTTGAATAGTGTCCTACTGGCCGACAGAAAAGCATTCTATCGCCACCAGCAATGGCAACACGCAACTGGTCAAATAAACAATGATGGCTGATCTTGGATGCCACCAGGCTCTAGATATCACGAGTCCGAAGGCCACGTTTAGTTCTATGTTGAAATACAAATCCCCATGTTGCGTTGCTTACACTGTTATAATCGCTTTGCCGTTTCATCGAAAAGCCAGACGGTGGCTGAAACCAGAATACTGTTCGCTTTAGACACTCTTACCAGTTGGTCCAAAATTTTCCCACCTTTTTTCCTAGCCCTTGAAAATGGTCATCGGACAGCGCATGAATAAACATATCGACTTCTCAGGACTCCCTTAATAAACGTCAACCCGGTCGGGCGGTCGGCCAGCATTTTCCTTGTGCTGCAGCAACCACACACGACCTCTGGTGGTAGTGATCGCTTAACCCGACCTGTATGCCACTGCTGTCGGCGGCCGTTAACCTTGACCTAGCCTCGTCTAGCTTCGGTTAATCCCGGTGGCCTGTGGTAGAAAATATGTGCGTCTATAGATATATATACACGGAGCTTCAGGTAACGCTTGCATGTGTTCATCAACCTGAACGAATACTTCCGTTTTTCAATAGTACTCACGTCAGTGTTTTGTTCTTTCTGTCAACAGGCAGAGATTTCAAAATTCTTCATGCAAGTTGTCGGGCTACAGAGCTAGGCAATGGTAGCAATGTCGGCCAAACGAAAAATTATGGCTAGTTATTGCTTCGACGCGTGAACTGCTTAGGCAATAAACTTTGATTATGTCGAACCGTATCAAAAATTATATAAATTTTTTAAAATGAATTATATCGATAAGATTACGCTAAGGCAATTTACTTGTGCAGGGAAGATCACGCACAATAACTCCATTTGCAAGAGGTAGATATTTTACAGATTACGTAAGCTTCCACGGGATTTCCGTACAAGTCAGATGTTACGTCATGAAACGTTGTTACTTCAGGCAGATCCGACAGGGATTGTGTCAATCGTAGATGATTTCATTTCAGCTAGCAGTCATTGATGCCAAAACTTTTTCTTCCTATTCTTCAACTCTTCTTTGATTCGGTTATATTCCTTTGCCAAGAATGGGAAGATGCGGAAGATGTTCCTTAGATGCCAGTTGAAAAGTAGGTCGATAGACCTAATAAGAGAGCCGACGCTCTTTTGATAGATAGTTGTGCTGCCGTAGATTTGTATCAATGCGGCGCAAGCATTCGCTTAGCAAGGTTTGAGACAAAACGGAGAGAGTCATGACAGTAGTAATAATCAAGCTCAGTGGATTGGTTCGCGCCTGCCACGCGGTCGCGGCCTTCTATGGCCGTAGTCGTCGGGTCTGCGTCGTCACGGCGCTAAATGCCGTATGCACAAGATGCGCCAAACGTGACACCTTGTTTTGCTGATGGAAGGATACGACCCTTATGTAGAGTATATCCCTTCCTTACAGTCAGTCGTTCGTTGACTTGAGACGCTTGCTCAGGACGGCTTCTCGAAAAAGGATGGTAATAATTATACGTCGAATACTAAGTAACTGTGAGCTAAATTCATATATTTCGTTACCTTGCTTCTGCAAATGGCTACATCTTCTCAGTCGTAAACGAACACACGTTGTTGACTCTTAAAGGCGTGCTTAGGGCAAACTTAGAAACGAGACAAAGGGGCTGCCCTTAAAGCACTTCTTATATTTAGTGCTCAGTTAGGGGATCTAATTAAATGTTAATTGTTTCGATCTTCCGCCATACGATATTGAGTTCAGACGTTTGATGACAGGCTTTGAAGCTCTGGGTCGGGCAGACTTGCCCTTTCAAATTCTTGCCTACACTGCAGGAAACGGTTCACATCTGGGTGATATCTAGCTCTAGCTTAAGTACGCGATACGTCAAGCTTCGACAGCAAGACGTAATTTTCGTACCGGTAATCTCAATGAAAACATTTAATGAAATGCATGCATCTAACTTTTCGCTTTCTACCACACCAGGCCGATTTAGAACCTTTACTAGGTATGCCCATGAAATACGTGATAGAGCATGCATCGCGTCCTAGCAGACACGACAGCACAGGAGGACAACGTAAGGCATTTGTCTATGAAATCGAGTAATCATTTGTTGCGCTCCAAGGAAGTTTACTCAAGACGACTGTCTCCTCGTTCCATTGGGAAGTAACTAATCAGTGGCAGATTCTAATAGGAGATATGAAATTCTACCATTCAAATAGTTAGACGTTGTTAATAACGACTGGTTCTGCCACAGACAGACTCACAGTGGCCTGGGATGTCTAGTATAGGCTTTTGACAATAGTAACGCCTCGCATCAAATGCTTGCATTGCACCAGATAACTTCGCAGTCAAGTTCTAGTGTATGTTTTCATTCAAGGTCTAATGTATGCAAATGTATTTTGTTGCAAATCCGTTTACGTACTGTGCATCCAGTCGAAAAGCCTCGAGTGGAATTGTTCTAGATGCCTGATGAGGCTACAAGGGCCAGTAGGTGTTATTACCGGAACTCGCTAACTTGTTCTTATAGCAACTATTTGATAACGGGCAAGAACAGATTATTTTCAAATGTAAACAACTAAAATTCAAGGCAAAGTATTCATCAGAAATATTAATGAATATGTTGAATAACGTGGACTGCTCATACAGACATAGAACGTCTAGCTGGACGTTCTAAGCCGGCAGAATTGCTGAAAAATTGGTTACAGATCATTGTTTCACACATTGAAGAACATTATCTATTCGATGACCGGTAAGATCGTTATCACAATGTAAAATAATCGTCATCAAAATTCAGTTTGACTATTGCCTTAGAATCCGTGTGCCTGTAGCAGGCCATACGATGCCATGAATGTCCTGCCCATTATATGAATTATATATATTCGTCGTTGAAAATGTTTCCCGGTCTGTAGAAGAGGGGCTGACGCAGTTACGATTTTTTGCAAATGGTTTTTCTACGACAAATGTCCCGGTTGACAATTCAGTTTCTTTATGCTGCTGAGTCCGTATCAGCTCGCGTGATGAGTGAGGTCTGCAATGCAACTTGTTGCTAGGTTACCAATTGGCGCCCAAGTACGATACTAATTACCTCATACCTGCTGATATTGATGACGTATCAATCGACACCGGACAAGGAGCTTGTTCCTTTAGCCTGTTTCATAAAATATTGTTTGTTGTATGATGAACGAATGGCAAATCGTGGACAAGGTTGCTCTCTTGCCTTACTGTACATTCTGCCGTAATGCCTAAATGTAACCAAGGGTAGAACGGGCGAACTTCGTGAGCGCGTGCATGGCTTGGCACGCTTGCGCGGCACCGCGTGCCTTTGTTGCCTCGATTTCGAAAACAACTTGTGCTAATATTATTAAAGACATTCACACTATGCGCCAGACCTCAAGGTATATCCTCATACGCGCTGCCGCATGACCTGAATGGAGTGGTAACAAGTGACTCTTCGTTTTTTTTTACAGATTGCGACACTTCAATGGATCGACAACACGGTACGTAGTCTCCGAAATGACAAGCTGCCAAATCTGTATTGCTTCAAGGCGGTAGAAAATCTTTCCTTACTGGTTTCTTAATGCACAATTTAAAGGCATAGTAATATGGAAAAAATACGCACCGCATATTTAATCGGTGTGATGTATAACTGTAGCAGCCTTAGGGCGTTTTGTTGATAGGCAAAAGTATTGCGACTAATTTGCATACACCTCTGGCGTGAAAGTCCTTATGTACACAAGCAAATCTCTACTTAAATGAATGAAGAGGATTTTATTATGGATCTATGTACAAACATCTTAGCCATCTGCTCACACGTGTTCCATGGCTTTCGAACGTTACTCATCTGCTAGTATTTGCACAAATCTGCCCTTACGAATAGAGAACGCTGATCGAGAACTCCAGCGATGCCACTTTCAGCAGTTGCAAGTTTAAATCCTTTGATGTTGACAACCCGAATGAAGGACCCTAATAACATACAGAGGTCCACGGCTAGGCTACAGGTCCAAGTAACGTCAAGTTTTCCGACTCTTATAGAGGCCTCAACACAACTGGAACAACCATTGCGCTGCGTGTTACTGCCGTCAACGTCTGTCGGCCGGATGCGCTGCATCCAGCCAAGGACACTACTGCGACTGATGTGGCAACGGCAGATTATTACTGTCGCCATCGGCGTCATGAAGCAGCACGGAAAATGTTTATGTAACATGTGCTGGATATTGCTGACAGTGACGACTGCGGTGCAACAAGTGTAAGCCCAGACAATGACGGAGTCCAATAGAATTGTCACGAAAAAGAGACCTAACTTATTCATATATTTTGATATTTGCTCAATACGCAGTAGTAGATTATTAACAACTGATTCATCGTTAACGCCGTGAAGTACGTTGTACAGTGTCTACACTTGGCCGTTTCTGTGCGTGTCATTAAACGTTCAAAATCAGAGCTGTTCAGTAATACGGCTATGGAGATGAACTCACGGTAATGCTTATCCATATTTAGAAACCATTTTACTAGCATATTTCACCTTTGTCTATAACGTGACGAAACACTGATGATCGACAATCGGTCGGCACTGCAGTAGAACCACAAGTGTTTCATAGAAGAAGAAGAAGAAGAAGAAAAAGAAGAAGAAACTTGAATCGCTCAATAAAAAATGACTTTGATACTTTTGTCCTTAGTTCTTCTATCACTAATTAACTGCTAGGAGTAGTTTGCTTGAAGAGAACCCGGAAGCTGCAAAGAAATCTGACCAAAAACATTGAAGGATCTAAATTTAATACATATATGCATACCCATAAGGTGACATTAAAAAGATTTAGAGAACAGCAGAAAAAGTTTGGCAAGTAGCTATTGCAACACAAGCATGGGTTTCATAAATAGTCCATCGTTTAATAAATGGCCTAGGTTTCTATGAGCGGCCTTTATCCTATAGTCATTCTCGAGCTAGACAGCGTGAGTGAATGTCCTCAATAAACATCCGTAGCATTTATATTGGTCTCCGCCAAACGATCCATAAAACGGGCTATAAAACACAGGTTGAATCCTGACTCAACGAAGCTCATTGTCAGAGGAACTCCATTTGAACTAAATGCTTGACGTTCCAGCCTTAACTCTTAAGCTTGCGGCTCAATTTGCGCTGTAATGGCAACCCGATAGTGGCAGAAGTTTATGTTTCAAAGTAGTTCGTCCTATGGCAGAGGCAAGGGACGGTTATGGAGCAAGGTGTATATTCGGATCGGCAAAGACCTTGCTGCGAAGCTCGTTTATTTGGCGCGCTAGTATAAGGAACCTGCTGAGTTGGCTCAGCAGATTGTTCTATGTAAGCCGCTGGCTCAGCCATGGCATACCACTCGTCGGCCTCTGCAATCTAACCTGCTACCTAACAGACCCTTAGAATAAAATGAGTGGCCTAGTTAAAGTCGTGTCGAGTTGCTGCACGGGTATCCCTTTGCGTATTTCCGTTAGGTACACGACGTCGCTAGAGGCCGCGTAAGTTCTATGAGCGGAGGTTGGACAAACGGCACGAGGGGGCTCTAGTACGGGCAAAGGCCTATGAAAGACACTTGGCAAAACAAACGTGTCACTGCAAATGCGAGAGTTCATCCATCTGCAAAATTCCTTTTCTGTCGACATAGCCACAATAAATTGGCTAGCCTATTTAGCACGTATTTAAGATGCTCGTCGCTATAGTCGCGTCGCGTTAATTACGGATCTGGCTAGGGCTCCCGCGAAGTGACTGCAGTGGCCGTTAAATGAAAAAAATTGGGACTGAATTAGTTAGTCAAAAAAGGTTGTTAAAAAAAAGGTCTTGGTTTATCCTAGGTAAGCTAGGCAGGGCGGACGCGATGTCTTCTAGAAAGAAACGGAGATGAGATGCCATCTGTATGCAGGTACCTAGAAAGGTACCTATAGACATAGGGGAAGACACATAATAGATATAGGTAGACTTTGTTCTACAAACAGTATTAAGCGGAGAATATCTGCCGAAATTTGTGCCGAAAGTTTTGGCTATGTAACTCACTCTTTAAGCAGGAAAATTTATTGCTTAATTTTGCAATTCGATTATCGCTGATATATTCTAGTACAGGAGACGACGACAAGTTACTGTTTCTGTAGCCCAACGTCATAAGTTAAGACATGTTGAGCATGATAGATATTTATAACCGTTTGTTCAATCTCGCTTTAACTGGCACATGTTCGTGTACGAGCGTAGACTTCCGTTCAGTTCTCTAACCCTATTTAGACGACACAATCTAATCCATATTTATTGTCGAACATTGTACTATTTGGTGCTTTTTATTAAACTATGGATACAAACTACATAACTGAAAATCAGAAAAAACAGTTGATTCAAATATAGACGAGATACTGGCCGATGCAATTAATAGGTTGCAATGAGAATACATATCTCCAGAACTTGCCAACAATAGGCCCTAGCTGACACGGTACGAGCATCCGACTCGCGTCTTCTCTAATCTACATACCAAACAACACAGAACGTACGGCTTGGTCTTACCCGGACAGCCAATACTATTTGGTCGAGTGGCATGAGTTAATTTTAATTTGACATTAGTCTCGTTCGAGCTAGGACCCTCGATTCGTACAAAATAGGCTGCCATTAAGGCGCCCTGTACTGTAAGGGTATGTTGAACATTTGGCTAAGTCTGCATCATGTTTACAATGAGGATATAGAAGAGACCGGCCAACCAGTTCCCCTATACACTATTTAAGGTGATATTGAGCAAGTCTATTTGATCCTAGTTAGGTTAGCCGACAAAGACGTGGAGTATGCGACAGCCAAACGACATCGGTTTGACAACTCGACCGAAAAAGACAGCGGATGTAAGGTCATGATTGACGAAAGTCAAAATCACTTGCCGTAGCGTCAGAAAATAAACACAATACATTTTTAGAGAATCACAGCGGGTTCAACTTTGTTCGTTCAATATACGTATGTCTATCAGTCTATATCTTGCCAGTTTGACCAACTTAGGTTCAATGGCAAGGCCTGGATCTAATCTCATTTAGTCGCTTACAAAGCTAAATTTTGTCCAGCGCTACTGGTCTTTCTGACCATTTTTCTATTTTCTTCATATGGGACGCAACAGCAACACATTGAGATGAATCAATCGAGCTGGCGCCTGTTCCGCAGCAACCAGACACACACGACTATGCAACAGTTTCGTACCCCATACCACGGCTTGCTTTCTCGATCTTCGCCATATTGTGGCAAGCACAAACATTATTGTGTATTATTATTATTATTTCAGGCAAATGTTTGCTTGCCAAACTAGTTTATGTCAAGATCGTAGAAACAATTTTCTCATAATTTGGAAGTCTTCAAAAGGATATCCTACAGATTTGTACATCTCAGACGTGAACATTGTTGTACCGTTATTGGCAAAAGTGTTTACTCGGACCAATGGTGAACCCATAAAGAATCACTTGACAAATTTTTTTCCAGAGGTAACAGTTCTTTTGAATTTTGATTGTTTCACCTCGCTGGATAAAACGCAACGGGACAGCACGCAAGTATTTGACTTTGCGAAACATTATGACGGCGTACGTACAATTCCGTCAGTCACCCACCCACCCACCCACCCACCCACCCACTCGAAACTGACATGGTCCGAAAGCATCCTCGTCGCTTGCCGCTGCTGTACGTGTTGTTATCCGCCGACGGCGGGTTGCCTTTTACCACGAGACAAAATACTAACATGTTAAACATTAGTCGTAATGATCTCTCATTTGTGTGGTATAGAGCGACTTAACAAGCTTTTTTCTTTAAGCTAATCTTCCGCACAGCGACTTATGATGCTCTAATGACGAACGGTCGTGTAGGCTCAATAGAGCTAATTCAACTTTTTTTTCTCCCATTTGTCAACAATTTCTAAATAATGCATATGTAGAATATTTGCGAGCTATCGTTTTCAAGTCGTAAAAATGTCTAGCGCTCTACTAGCCGTTATTGAAGTATCTAGTGACACCTATGACCCTTGGAAGATGATATTCTGGTGTAAGTATTTATTAAATATTGACAATTCGATAACCACTGAGATAAAATCTCGTTGACTCAGATATTCATTGTCACCACCAACTCGATAGACCCGGGTGTTTTTGGAGAGTATAATAACACAACGCTAAACCATGGCGAGGGTTTGAATGTATGCCCTGCCTGTCTAGAACGCACGTGCGCATTAGCGACGACAAAAAAGATATTGCCCGTATTGGAAAAATGATGGTTACGTGACCCAAACAGACAGAAATGTGACCCAATCAGAGACCGTTACCAGTGCCATTAGAAGGATGCATCTAAACGTATGAACCTAGTTAATACAGGCACAGACCACGCAAGCAAATTGTTAATTCGTATCTAGTGTGCTTCTATATACCGCTCAATAATTATCTTTTTGCTCAAGTGACGATCTTAATAGAAACAAAGAACTGATATTGAAATCTATTAAAGGTTGTTGGGTTATCGCCGTGTGATGATGCACAG